GACAGCAACGAGTCTAATGTCACCGTCCGCCAGTACTCACAATACATGAATGACGTTACAACGTTTGCAACAAATCCCGGGTTCAAGGTACGCGTTTCAATAACAGCAAGTGACTTTAAATGCAGTTGAGCTGCCANAGAGAGAGAGAGAGAGAGAGAGAGAGAGAGAGAGAGGGAGAGAGAGAGAAAGAGAGAGAGAGAGCGCGAGATAGAGAGAGAAAGAGAGGGGGGAGGGAGTGAGTGAGGGAGATGGAGAGAAAGAAAGAGAGACAAAGAGAAATATCGAGAGAGAAAGAGAAAAGGAGGAGCGAGAGAGAAGAGGACAGGAGATGAGAAAGAAGGGTAGTACATAGAAACAATGAATAGACATAGAAGGGGACAGCGAGATTGACAGAGTGAGAGAAATAAAGAGAGAGCGAGAGAATAAGATTGAGAGAGAGAGAGAGAGAGAGAGAGAGAGAGAGAGAGAGAGAGAGAGAACGAGAGATGGGTGGACAAAGGGAGGGAAAATGAGAGAAGGAGAGCGCCCGCGAGATAAAGCGACTCTTGCGCGTACACAATTATGTTTGTCGACCATGGATAGATTGGATATGACGATACACACACACGCACACACCATCGCGCGCGCACGCGGTAGTCAATTAAGGCTCACAACCTGCGCGTCTCTGGTCACGGCCGCGTTATTAGGCGGGTGCCAATTGTTTTTGCGCGCAGGCAATCAATTAGAAACCACCAAGTCGATAATTGGAAAGCTGCTATTTATCAGCGGCTGCGTGTTACATCCCTCCTCCGCCTCGCTATCCTCCCTCTGTTTTCCCTTCTCCCATCTTCTCCCTTCGCCTCCTTTTCATCCCTCAACTTCATCTTCTCTTTTGGGCCCTCTTGCGTGTCTCACTCTTTCTTTCGCTTCTTACTCCTCCTTCCGTCTCTCATTCCCTCTTTCGCTTCCATTTCTCTCTTTGCATTTCACCTCCCCCTTCTCTCGTCATCTTCCTCTTTCCCACCAAAACCCGCGCGGTGTTGTCGTTCGCGCGTCTGTCGCTTCGAATTTTTCTTTTCCGCGTCGGAGCAAAAGACGTCCACGCGCTGCCCCGTCGGGCGAGTGCAATCAGCACCCTCTGTCGGACCACACCACCGTGCGGCGGGAAGGGCCCACAGCGGATGGGCGTCATGTTGCCGCTCGCAGCCGGCGGACGTGCGTCATGTTTTGACGAGCACGTGAAACGGCTACGTCACTTTGGTTTATTTGCGGCAAAACGTCACGTTTTCGTGTGCACCTAGTTCGTTCACTTCACGTTTTCGTGTGCATTTAGACCATGCACGTCAAGTCTCTGTGGTCACTTAGACCGTACTCGCCACGTTTCCGTGTGCACATACACCGTGCACGTCACGTTTTCGTGTGCACATAAACCATTCACGTCACGTTTCCGTGTGTGCCTAGATCGCGTACGTCACGTCTCGGTGTCCACCTAGACCGTGAACGTCATGTCTCCGTGTGCACCTAGACCGTCTACGTCACATTTTCGTGTGCACATAAACCAAGCACGTAACATTTCCGTGTGCGCCTAGACCGTGCACGTCACGTCTCCGTGTGTACTTACACTATACACGTCACGTCTCTGTGTGCACTTAGAATTCTCACGTGACATCTCCGTGTGCACCTAGACCGTACACGTCACATTTCTGCGCGCGACTGACAGATGCGTTGCATTTGGATTTGCACGTTGGGAAGCAGGTGATGTCGCGTTGTGCGTATAGCGGAAGACTGACGCGAGTCGATTATTCGCATAATTTCTCTATGATGTTTTTGCTTTTATCCTTATTTTTACGACCACGCTCTAATAATTCAGCGCATATACGCATTCACGATCGGATGTAGCAAACACGCACGTACGCACGCCACACGCTCGTTCGCACGCACGAACGAACGCACGATGAAATACGCCGTTCATATTTTAAGCCCTCACTGCCGTCCGCCTAAGCGTGAGTAGCAGGGTTGATTCTTTATTATCATAAACAACGGAATTACAGGGAATATCAGAACAGGGGCGTATAATCACAGATTGAAGATAAAAACGAGAGCAGCGAGTGATTGCTTGCAGACATGAAAGGACATGATTTTCGAGCACCCACGGACGAGTACACGTATATACGTATAGACGCACGCGTGCGTGTGCATTGTGTGTGTGTGTGTGTGTGTGTGTGTGTGTGTGTTTGTGTGTGTGTGGGGGGAGGGAATTGGCAAGGCGTGTGTGCATGCGCAGTGACGCGGGAACGCTCACTGGTCTCTCGCTCTCTTCTCTGCGCTTCTTCTTCTTCTTCTTCTTCTTCTTCTACATCCTCCTAATTTTCTTCCTATTTTTGTTATTTTTCTTTCTTTTCTTCTTCTGCTTCTTCTTCTTCTTCTTCTTCTTCTTCTTCTTCTCCATCTTCTACTTCTTTTCTTCCTTCCTCTTTTTGTTCTTATTCTTCCTCATCCTCATCATCCACTTCTTCCTTTTCTTCTTTTTCTTCTTCTTCTCCTTCCTCTTCCCATAATGATTAGGTCTAGTGCCGCTTACTACTTCAGTACTAAACTGGATGAAAATAAATCGCATGCAAGCTAGCTACGCTGACCGGAAAAGCGTTGACATGGCGACAGCGACGACGTCGGAAAATCACCTTAATCAACGGCGTCTGTTATAAATCTGAACGCATTCATTCAGGTGGGCCGCTGACAATGGCGGCCGCTAATTTGCATATAATAGGCGCCAAATTACCTTTGTTCGATTCAAAGGAGCGCTGCCGCGACTCGGGCCCGTCTAATGAGCTTTAATAGCTCTTATTATTACGCGCGATGCAAGCAGACGACGCAAGAAGAACGAGAATACGAGTGCATGCATGCATCAGAAATCACATGTACGCGCGCGTACGGCGTGAGCGCGGGGCTGAGTACGCGCACTCACATAGTTAAATTATATATATATATATATATACATATCAAGAGCTAATCATGCTAAATTAGCGTAATACTTAAATATATATCTAATAATTATCTAACAATAATACAGTATTATTAGCTCTTGATATATATATATATTTATTTATTTATATCCTGCTCCCACTCTCGCTCGCTCTCTAACACCATCCTCTATTTATCGCTCTCTTCCTCTCTTTTTCTGTGCATGTGTGTGTGTGTGTGTGTGTGTGTGTGTGTGTGTGTGTGTGTGTGTGTGTGTGTGTGTGTGTGTTGGACAGCTCACAGCAGATGCTGTCATATTTGGCAGCAGTTTGTCCGCGCTCATGCTGATCAATGTTGTTTGCGTGTATGCTATGCTGGGATTCACAAGTACTCCCAGCACCTGTAAATGTCAGCCCGAGAGTGCCTGAGAGCGTCGTAATGCAGAGACCTAATCCCTAAGCCAGCTATATCGGCATATCGAAAAAAACAACACTGAATGCTTTAGTGTGCATAGTATAAACACATGTAGATTTCGCCATGAAGGCCATTGTCGTTTTCAAAAGATGATTTAGAATTCGGCCTTCGAATTTATTCGGATTTTTTTTCGAATTCTGCTTTCCGTTTTTTTCGGATGTTTTTCTAATTCGGCTTGCGGATTTTTTCGGATTTTGTTCGAATGCGGTTTTCGGTAGATTCTTCTCCTTTAAGCTCATACTCCGTGCGTGCCTTCCGCCTATTTATCGATAGCGCGCTAAACTCTCAGGATGCGTAAAGAATGCCGAAAAAGGTGATTAGTTTATCATATAGGCGGGTAAATTGCACACACACACTGTCTGTGTCCGGGGACGACGAAAAAAAGCTGTGAATTCTCGGTTATGGACGAATGGCGGCTTTAATAACACTGACGGTAGATGAAAAAAAAAGCTGCGGGAAACCTGTCGCCTTCACAGGAAGCCTCATTTCCGTCGCCACGCGAAGAATTTGTTTTCGCACAGCACAACGTACAGCAAGTTTGCAGGAAACGTGTGAGAATGGAGTGAGACGCACGCAAAAATACCCCCGTGTAAACACTGCGCAAGGAAGAATCGAACCCCTTGGGCCGCGCGCGTAGAGACAGAACTGGCGGGTAAGCATTCTACTTTAGCACGACGGCAGGGGAACACCCACAACCTTCTCCCTCCTTCTCCCCTGATTCCATTACGCGATGCTTGTATACACAGTCACCCTCGTGTTAGTAGTAACCTCTACAGAGCGACCACCTACTCATGAAAACCACTCGCCGTTTCCCTCGAGTGGCCGCTGTATGCAGACGTGGTATGTATTTATTTATATACGCGTAGAGGAAATTCCCAGTTGTTTTACCGCCTGCGCGCGCGTGTGCTATTATCACAATATTGTCTTTGGTTTCACGTTGCGTAGCGGCTGCCTCGCGCGCACCCCTAAGGTGACATGTATCGATGCGCGGGAGATGTAATGTCAACCCGCATGTTTTATTTCTCTAAGTAGCACATGGTTTAATTACACGCACGCGACGTTTATATACGCGGAGTTTCCCACGCCTGCTCACAAATAGTTTATCTTTGTGGATTATTAATTTGTCATATCATACGACATCCTGGCATTCATGATATAGTTTTCATAAAATATACTTATATAAGATAAATAATAATCAAGTAATTCTAGCGTTCATTATAATAGTTGCCACGTGTCTCTGAATCCACGGTAGTCTAAAGAGAAATGAGATACTCTACGAGTCTACATAGAGATGAAAGTGCATAGTATTATCTCTCTCTGTTTTTCTTTCGCTCTCTCTCTTTCGTTCTCTCTCTTTCTTTCTCTCTCTCTCTCCTTCTCTCTCTCTCTCTCTAGAGAGAGAGAGAGAGAGCTCTCTCTCTCTCTCTCTCTCTCTCTCTCTCTCTCTCTCTCTCTCTCTCTCTCTCTCTCTCTCTCTGTTTCTCTCTTTCTCTCTCTCTCTCTCTCTCTTTCTATCTATCACACACTCTCTCTTTTTCTTTCTCTCCCTCTGGGAGAGTGATAATTAAACATGCACTAGCTGACGCATCCACCTGCTGCTATTTTTCAGTCCTGTTGGCGCTTATGAGGATCCAATCTTCGTCGATATCCGGGATGTCGAACGGAATAAATACTTCCTGGAGGTGTATGACGACATGCTGAAGGGGAAAGCTGGTGTCAAACAGCTCATGGCTGAGAGCATCCAATCAAGAGTGGAGACTCTCCTAGAGGGAGTTGTCGTGCAAAAGTTCCCAGCCATGTACTACTGGCGACCGGTGAGCGAACATTGTAAAGGCATTCGCTAAAAAGGTAGGGAAGACATCGCCATAAGTGCGAAGAAGATATGCAGAATTTATTTAATACAAGTCCTAGGAGGAAATTCAGGTGTTTATCAGTCTTTCGTTTTTATTCAGATAATTTATTCCAGGAATGTTTGTTTGCCTGTATAGTATTGGCAATCTATAGGAGCTGGTCATGTTATAGGTACAAGAAAAAGGGAAACGAAAGGAAGAATTTTGTATGAAGCAATATGTCTGTAAAATATATAAAAACATTTAGGCCAAGCTAGAACTATTACCTTACTAGCAGAGATTTCTAGATATGTAGTGACGATGTGTTATCTTCACTGTAGATTCTATTTTGCTTGGCCTATATAGAAAAACTACAGTCTTACGTGATATTTGTTTTTTAACAGATTAGTGTAGTCGGTTATTCTCTAGCTTTGGTATTGGTTTTGGAGCAACATGCAAAGCATTCCATGATGTCACCACTGGTGCCGTCTGCAGGAGATTTTCTCTACCATCGTCTTGATCTCATTCAGAGTCAGGGTGACACTAGTCAGTGTCGATATTTTGGCAACATTGCAATTAAAGGTGTGCTATAGTATGACTGTTTAGATATCTTTTAAGTATATTCTAACTGTGTACGTTATTAAAGCAATTTAGTTGACATGTATGAGGTAACTGATGTATGCGTGCAGTCATGGGACTGTGTAAACATTTCTATGTGTATAGCAAGAATTGGTAGATTTAGAAATGAAAAATACCCTTTAGTTTTACATTTACGTTTTTGCTTCAACAGATAGATCTACTGTCAAGTTTGGCCCGGAGGCATTTGTGGATCCATACCACTATCTTGACAACAACGAGTCTAATCTCACCGTCCGCCAGTACTCACAATACATGAATGACGTTACAACGTTTGCAACAAATCCCGGGTTCAAGGTACGCGTTTCAATAACAGCAAGTGACTTTAAATGCAGTTGAGCTGCCATATAAGGCTATAGAGGAAACTTCCCAAGTTGCTGTTACATCCGTAACTTCTCTGAATAAAGAGCAGTAGAGTACGTGTGAATGCCATCACATATGTATATATAGAATCGGGTAGTGGGTACTAGCGTCTGTCGGTGTAAATGTTAGCTTAACACTTGAAAAATATTTATAGTGTTTGCTGTATGTGTGGGTCAGGTATGGGTCTCTACTAAGCTTGCTGTCTGCATGCGACTATATGTATGTGCTTATAAAAGCCGTCAGCATGCGGTTTACGCTTGACTAATACTAACTGTGACACACATCACTAATATTTGTGGGATGAGTGTGGTTGCAGGTTGCCAAGATTAATAACTGTTTGTTATTAATTGGGATACATCAATCAATCCGTGCATCAATTTACCGACATTTATGGACATTTACCGACGTGTATGAGTGATGCACGAAAACCAACCTTACATGTTTCTGCTGTCCACAGTGTGTGAAAAAACATCAAAACCTTTAATGCTATCATTTTTAGCTAACCTTGACCTCTAATCGTCCAGCTGAGCTATTGCCATGGGTCGTCGTCCGTCGTACGTTCGTCCGTCCGTCCGTCCGTCCGTCC